AAATGTAGTTAACACAGAGACAATGGTCTTCTATACTCACTACACACAAGAGCAGACAACAAACTAATACAATTAATAGTTATTAAATGAGCAGCCAACAATCAAAATTATGAAGTTATCTATAGATTTAAAGCTAATCTGCATATTTAAACACAACATTTCAGGGGAAAATACTGACTTGACGTAAGTAACTGGGGAAGTTGTGAGGTGCAAATGAGCACATTTTAATCAAGATAAGAGATAAAATAGTACTGTATTACTAGTCTACTAGTTAACGCCTAATTTGCATATCAATGTGGCGATTGTGATGAAGTTATTAGATAGGCCTACACATTTTACTGTATTCACCTTTAGTGTCTCCCCTTAAGTACAGTAGGCTACATTAGCTTGTATGCCCATGATACATGTCCTTAGCTAAACCTTGAGCTAAGTTATCCATTAGCTAGTAGCCTACTTAGTTAACTCTATTTGTTTTTGTCTTTTAGCTAATTAGCTGTAAACTCGAGGCACTGTGGCAGCTTAGTCATTTGTTCATCACTACTCACCTTCAAAATAAGCCAAGAAAAGCCGGCATATCATGGGACTGTAAGGTGGGAGGTGCTGCTACCTGTCGGTCTGAAGTGACTACCGATGTCCGCACCGCTGTGCGCGAGACGTGGAGGGAGGGAGGGTAGAGAGAGCATCGGAACTTCACAGTCTAATCTCCTGACCTGATATTTTTATTTTGTATTCAATCAATATATTTTTGAAAGGGAAACTGGGTGCAAACAGCAGTAGATATATATTAATTTATTAAAAAAATTAAAAAAGGGGGGGAAAAGGGCACTTTCTCTGGAGGAAGAAAAAGGGCAGGGGCTCAAGCCCACTTTGATGTCTGTGTGCACGTGCCTGCCTGTGTTTACATGCCATACACAGACAAGACGTCAATAAATAACAAGTGCCACAAGGACACTTGATTTAAACTGATATGGAAAAAACATTCATGAACATGTCATGTAGCTTTTGTTAGACTGTTCTTGTATTTATTGAATTATAATGTTTAAAGGTGTCAAGGGGACGTGCTGTTTGTGTATTGTGGAGAATTAAAAAAACGGAATTACATCTCTCGTTTGATAGTAATGCATATTAATTGCAAGACACATGTAATGAAATTATAATTGTTTTAATTATGATTTAGCACTTGTCTACTGCCATAGTAAATACGGTAAAGTTACACATGATTTTGTTATGATCACATTACTTATGAGTTATCAAAACTAACCACTCAACAACTTTGCTAACACAGGCAAACATGAACAGGTGCAGCAACACAAGACCACCATTCTCCCTAATACATGTCAACATGATTCGGATATTATAATCACAGCTTATATTGATCGTTTTTTTCACTACCTCTTGCTGTGGCCTTTAACCCCTTTTTTGAGCATTGCTTTTTCCCATAAACATGCATACTAACCAACGTGACAGTACATAACACAAGCAGTGCTCAAATATTTTCTATTGATATTTGCATCACAGTTTTGTTAGATCAAAATGATCGGTCAAGGACACTGATGGTCAGCCAGGAGAGTATAGGGAGCAGTCCAACCAATTTCATACCTACTGCTGCATACTCAGAGTGCATAGCAATTCTGCTGAGGCGGCTCTATTTGACATTGTGAGTGTGTCATGTTCATAGGGATGGCTTCTTTTGGAACAGCCTGATGCAGCACTCGCAGACTTCAGTGGAGCCTCACATCCACCTGAAATAAATGTCAAGCAAGCACTTTTGCTAACAGTGAAAATTCCTCTACAGCTCATCTTTCCTGTGCCTGTACATGCAGATGTGACAGCTGTAGTTGGCTAATGTGTAGCCAAAAGTCCTTAAAAACCTGTCCTTACGTTGCTTACATATAGGATCGGAATGGAGTTCAAATCAGGTAAACACCACTGCTGAGCTTAAAAAGAGTGTTTCAGTTGGTTTTCAACACACATGCTGAAAACGTAATACTTCCATTTCATTTGTCAATCATAAAAGTGTGCATCACCAGATAAAAGCTGTCAGGAAAAGCTTCTCCTGACCTATCCATCTATTGTTTCCAACGCCATAGAGCAGTGCTTCTCAAAGTGTGGTCCGCGGACCACTGGGGGCCCGTGAGCGCCCCCTAGTGGTCCGTGAGTATATTGGTAAAATGTCACATTTGAATAAATAAATACATTTAAGTTTTCCGCACTCTCGCGAGAATATCTCCGCAATGGAGCAAGCTTACATTTCATTAAACTTACTCTTCGATTGCATGATATAGCGCAACACCTTCGTCACACATGTTGCCACCTGTTTGTACAATTTTCAGGCGATTTGTAATCTGTTTCTAGAAAAACGATGTGTTTTTTGGATATTTGTGGAGTTAGGTGGTCCGCGAGTGTTTTTTCAATGGTTAAGTGGTCCTTGGCAGTGGCAGCGCCAGAGTATTTTTGTTGGGTAAGCTATGGTAGGTGTTGGGGAAATATTTTCCAAGGCCCATAACTTTGACCCAGTTTATCAGTTCAAACTGTCCTGACTGAGCACACGCACCTCGTAACCTTGGCTGCTGTGCTCTCAGTGTTCTGTCTCCCTGTTCCTGCCTGTTGGCGTCAGCTGATCGAGGTGTTATCATTCTATCTTGTTATGCAGCATGTTGATGATTCTCTCTGAACTAGCTAAATACATGGGTCTGGGGTAGAGTTCTTCAGAATTGACGTGGCAACTCTACCGTGCAGTCAGATCGTGGCTGCTGTGACTTGTGATGTGAATTCTCCGGCCGAAACTCCAAATAAACCATCAGTGTTTGACATCAAAGCTCCTGCTCTTCCCGTGTCTCTTTCCTGAGTCGGTGACTCCCACTGCATTGCTACACAGAAGTTTCCCCCCACAGTAGGGCTAACCCATACAGTGGTGGGGCTCAAGTCAGTATTTGCAATGTAATTACATACACGCTATATCGCCCCCTTGACAGTGAAACGCCACACGTGAGGTTAAGATTATTTTCCTGTCTCAATCAAAATGGAACTGTATGAAATAAAACGGCACATTTGTGTTGTAGTAAATAAAAAGGGATCACTGTGAACGTAACGTATGATAGTACACGTTGAAGATCCAATGGGGATACTGAATGGCGGTTCCAACTGATCTCAATCAGTAATGCATGACGCAGACCCCACGTTTCGTGCTCTGATGGCTGTAGGTCTGACTCTATTCAAATTGCATTCGGAGGCATTTTGATCTGACCGCGGCCGCGCTGATATTATAACGCCAGAGAATTTCCACACCTTTAGTGTATAAAAACTCCCCCACTACTTACGGCCCGTCCACACAGCGGCATTGGAAGCGTCTTCCAACGCTTCTGCCCATTCACTTTGAATGGGGTGACAAACTGCATTGTGGGAAGCAGAGCGGAGCTTTCCTGGCGTTTCAGGCTGCAAAAGTTGAGCAATGTTCAACTTTTGAAGCTTCTGAAGCTTTTGGTGGAAGCGTCAGCCAATCAAATCATATGCCAGTACAAGCTCTAGCCAATCAAACCGCTGCTTGTGTGTCAGGGGCGGGAGATTCATGTGATTGGTTGTTGGTCGAGCTTCAGACACGCCCGCCGGCAAGCTTTTTTCCAAAGCCGCTGTGTGGACGGGCCTTTAGACTATTCCTTGCACCCCTCTTCTAGCATAAGCCTGAATGGTCCTCAACCATATTGCATCAGTACGTGCACTTGTTATTACAGCAGGATCAGTTTGTGTGTTGTGGACACGACCCGTATATATTTGCAAGCCGTTTTTCTCAACATTTAGCATTTTGCTTATTATTTAATTTAATTTGCTTACTTTAACATAATTTTCATGGTGGGGCTAAGGTGGGGCTAAGCCATTTCTTGGTATGGCTGTAGCCTACCCCAGCCATACCCTGTCACAGCCACTGGTCCTTGGTATGAGAACGTTTGAGAAACACTAAACAAAAATAAAAAAGAAATGAAAAACAAGACTTTATCTGCTCCTATAATTAAAGCTCCATTGACAGTTAATTAAAAAACATCTTGCCTCTGTGGTTTCTTGCTTTGTAAGAGTTGTTTCTGTTGCTTAATATTGATTGAAATGTTCCAGGGCAGAGAATCAGCCTAATTTGAAACTTTATAAAATGTACTCTTGATAAATACTTTATTGAAAGTGAACTTGAATCATCCTCACTGCATCATAGTGTTCTTTGGGACATTAGCTGTGCACAATTAGCATATTTAGGCGTTGTGAAAACTTCTTGAACCTTGAACACTTTAAAAGTTTGTATTACTGTATTTTTCTATATTTGTGGTTTGCCAAAAAGTAGTATTTATTTCGAGGACAATGCCAAGGACAGACAACGATTGTGAAAAATAACTTCAGGGATCATTTTCCTGTCCTTTTTTCCGACACAAACCCTCATGATAGATTTTGTTCTGAGACAGCATTAACCCAATCCGCTGCAGGTTCAATTTATTCCATTTTTGTGCAGGACTTTCAAAATAAATCATCATCTTAATATTAATGGTAACAGTTTTTTCTGTGATTTTAAGAAGCGAAAAGGTATCAAACTAACAATTACAGTATGTCAAACTTTTTTAATATTCTAAACAAGGTTGTATTTAATGGGATAGCCGATTTGCTTTCAATTAATATCCTTTGTGTGATATAAATGGTGATGCTGCACAAAGCCTTTGTATACATCTAGGAAAAGTGATTCCAAAATAACTTAAACTTTAATAAAATCCAAGACAAGTTATATTTAGTTAAAACTATTATTGCTATCAACATGATTAATACACCAGTCCTAACCAACCAACTATAGAAGAAGAATACTGACATTATAATCAGCTCCAACTATGGCACGATTTATAACATCAAAAGTATTTCTTCTGCTTTTGATGATGAAAGACTGATACAATCTATTGATGTTTAAAGAGGAAAAAAAGGAGATAAAAACCTCTCACTTGTTTTAAATTGAGCAGAAACTAACCCGGAAGTCAGACGTGACGTCAGGCACGTCATCACAGCAGGATAGCTTACGTTCAACCCAACCAAACGGCTCACGTTTGTTTTTGGTGAATCACATAGCACTACAAAAGTTGCTGAAAGTGAAGGGATTCATTTCACAAGAAGCTTTACTTTGTCCACCGACGAGGAAATAGGGTGAGGCTCTTCGTGTAACATAGACGCTGAGAATATCTTCATTGTTATGCAGCTGTGAAGGCTACAACGGGAGATAACATTAGCTGTTTGGCTAACAGTAGCCTGTGCATCACCTAGCTTTCCTTTCACTCCTCCCAGGAGAGTAAAAGTAGTTTTCTCTGCAGGTGATGGGAGGTGGGTTTTTTGGGGACACGATTCTGAAATACTTCCGTCGTTTTATTTCTGTACTTAGCTGCTTACAATGTCCTGTCTTGTCCTAATTTAAATTCCCAGATAAGATAACGTATAGTAAGAATAGTATGTCATTTTGGGAAAGTTATGTTTACATATCTGTCAAATAAGTGATGTGTTTTATTTGGTTATGTATTAATAGACCTATCTAAAGTATGCAACAAAGAGTATTCTCTCTTTACATTAAAACAGGGATATCTGGCTTGAGAGGTATCCTTTGCGACTCTGCAATGTTTGTAGATGTAACTATAGGTTGTAATATAACACACCTAAACCAATAACATATTATCCCGTATGTATTTGTCATTACTTCCAAAGTTGGAGAAAACAAATATATTTGTTGATTATCTAGAAGTAATATGATTTGTCTATCAGTAGTTAAAGCAACGCCTTTTACATGCAAACACGTCACAAAAATAACATTTGCTGTACATTACATTAAATTATACATTTAGTTTCAAGCTTTTCCTCATCATATATAATAAAATAATACAATTTAAGATTTTGCAGCTTTGGGGAATTGTGGCCATTATGTAACTATTATACTTACTTATGTATTATCTGTTCGATTTACACACGGCATCTATTGCACGTCTGTCCGTCCTGGGAGAGGGATCCCTCCTCTGTTGCTCTCCCTGAGGTTTCTCCCATGTTCCCCTTAAACTGTGGGTTTTCTCTGGAAGTTTTTCCTCGTACGATGTGAGGGTCTAAGGACAGAGGGTGTCGTTTTCTCATACTGATATTCTGAACAATCTGTGCTGTTGTATTTGCTTTAAAGTGTCTCTACTGTAGGCTATTTTTATTATATGTACAGCATTTTGGCTCGACCAAAAATCGTTTATAAATGTGCTATATAAATAAAACTTGATTGATTGATTGATTTACTAATTTATAGCCAAATGTATTGATCAGATACATTCAGAACATAGAAACTAATAGGTGGAATAATCAATAATGGTAATATACTGAGCAGCTGCCCTACATATAACCATTCCTTGTTTCTTTTTATCCCCCAGGATCACCAAAATGTCTTCTGCTCAGCCGGTCATCAAATCGAAACAGACGGTGAAAGAAGTAAATGGAATTTCAACGCAGGTCGTCTGTACAGAGTTCAGTAATTACATATTCGTAGTACTTACTCAGTACGGCAAAATGGGGACATTGATATCTGTCACACCTGACTCCAGATCTAATGACATCAGCACCCCGTCGTTCTCCACTAAAGTACTGCTGGGCAAAGACGAGGTAGGCTCGATGAAATTGTTCAGATTAATATTGTATCAGTGCATTAAAGACTTGTTCACAGGACATCACACAGACTTGTTGCAACACAGGATAACTCATGTCATGCTGTGAAAGGGCAGATAAGGTTGGTTCTGAATGGCTCTGGTGGAATGGAAGGAATTGTATCAGTTCAGCGGCCTGCTAAGTTTGCACAAGAACATTTATTTCAGCTCTGCCTTAGCATGTGATTTACTTATTGACGTTTAGTGCCAGACATGAATAATCAACAAATAAATGTATTGTAAGTATGTTTGCTTTCCGAGTTGAAAAGAGTTTTTTTTAAGTCTTATAGTCTTTAAAGAAAAGATAATACTTGCATCTTCTTATAATGTGTGTGGTTTTAGAGCCATGGAGGGATGCAGTGTAAAAGCAAACACACAGACACAATGATGGAGTATTGTGTCTGTAATGTGGTTAAGCATTATGTCAACAGCCCAGTCTACATCTCTGTTATTGTGAAGTTTACTGCGTTTCACAGCAGACACATAACCTGCTACAATAACACCAGGGGATTCTTTCAAATCGAATCAATGTGAGACGTACAAGCGCTTCTTACTTTGGGAGAACTTCAAAAAAATAAATTACTTTTCTCAGTGTGTTTGGAAATATAGCCCAATCAATAATACAGCATGGCAGTAAAGGCAAGATGTAACTATCTACCACATACGCGATGGAAACAGCACAAAATGTGTTAGGAAAAGTGAATTCTTTTTTTTCCTGGACAACTTGTTCACAGTTTGAAAAGTGAGTTAATACCTCAATACAAACCTGAAGAGATTTAAAAACTATTTACCATACAAACACGTATCGTTTTGATACCAAAAAGCGTATCTAAAAACAATGAAAACTGGTTTGTTTGTTGAGTATAAAAGAAGATTATTGATGTAATATATAAAACCTGGAGTAAAAGGGAAAGATTGTGTTTGCAAAGAAAGTGCTATATCAACGATTGCCATTCATTTTCTTCTGACAATAACATATTATATTGCAGCATTTCTGTGTGTGTAATAATCTAATACCTGATTTATTTTCTTCTCTTTACAGCCTCTTACTCATGTCTGTGCCAAAAACCTGGCCACTTTTGTGTCACAAGAAGCCGGCAACAGGCCTGTTCTACTGGGGACTGGCGCTCAAGGATCCTCCATAGATTCAATAAACAAATGAAAGAGATTGTCAAAAGTTGCCAAGTCTGGTAGAAAGTCATAATGGACATGAAGCCTGAAGACTGGGCGAAACAGCCCTTCAGGATGTTTCCCAATGTCACATTTTTTCATGAATCTTTTTAAACTGAAAATAATGTAATACTTACTGAATGTCAATCTGTGATAGCGTGTGCCGCAACAGAGAAATGTATAAATCCAATTTCAACTGATCTTTTTTGATTTGTTCAGACAGTGAAAAATGTCTTTGGAGTTGATTTGGTAGAAAGAATTTCTGCAAGCCACTGTGCTCGCAGTGTGTTTGCAAAATGATAGCCGATAGCTCCACTTTCATCATTGTATGAAATTATTGTTTTGTTTGTTTTGGATTTGTAATAAAATAAACATTTGAAATTGTTGCATGTCGGTTATTGAAAAATAAAACGGGGCACTTCTGACATTTTTTACAAGTCTTTAAAACATTTGTACTCAGCTGGTGTAAAGGATGTTTAGCCTTAACACATAAGTACTTTAAACATTACACATATTCACATTAAACTGAGGAAATGGCTAATGCCTTCTATAATCTTCGTATCTATTTCATCAATTATAGCTGTGGGAGATGTGTTACATTTCATTAGTAGTATTTTTTTTTAATTGCACCATTATTTCAGATACATTAGCAGTTATATATTTTGCTTGAACATTATCAGTATTGTGTGAACTTTATAAATAAGAGTACATATAACATTTCTAATACTTGGGATTCTTTGTGTGTGATTATAAGGGCCCTACCTTCTTTAATATTGTATTTGCTTTTGTAACATTGAACTCCTTTATATTATTTAAATACATAAGTAATAGTACTTGCAAATGTTTTCAAATTGAAAGTCTTAAATTATACGGGCGACCGAAAAACAAAGGATACTGTCTTGTTCACTCTCAGTCTAAATGTAATCTCTCTCAGATAAAGACAACGTGACGTCACTCGTGGCGCTCTGGACACGTGACCCGTTCACCTGTGCCCAACCTGTTTATCTCTGCTGCTCTGAGCGAGACGACGCCGAAGGATACATTACATACTCGTCGTTAACACTGAAAGTCTGACTTTTGTCCACTTACACAGAGTTAACGCACCAGGCTAGTGTATTGTGACTTTTCTGTCACAGGTTTTGTTGGAGTTTTCCTCTCCGAATGCGTGGACTTCGACCTCGGTGTTTCACCTGTTTCAAACAAGGAAGTCCAGTCTGTTGAACCCGTCGATGGTAAAGTCGACGGCCCGCTTGTAAATGGCAGTGAATTAGTCAGTTGGCTATTTGAAAAGCGAGTTTGTTCTCCATGTTGATCCTATAACATTGGCCTCGAGGACAGTATCGACTAAACAGGATAAAGCCGCTTCCTACCTCCTGAGACAAGGTAAGCTGTTTGTTAACGGTTAAGAGAAGTTTAATATCAAGATACGGATCATCTAGTCTTTCACTTTTATTTTACTGTGGTGTTTGTTCTTCTCATTATTTTTTAGTATGGTTATAAAAACCGAGTTATTTTGTGTTCACAGCAGGGGACATTAAATCATTTGGCATTATTAAGTCAAACCCATGGGGGTGTTGTTACATTTTACCTGTAAACCCCTCTTGTTGTTTCTCTCTTTCAGATGAATATTTCATTGGAAGAGATGGATTCATCAAATGAGAATAATTCTATCCTTCACCTTGATGCACCCAATCCTCCAGACGTCTCCAATATGACAATTATTCGAACAAGCAATGGCACAATCATAGAACACCAGATGTTTCTGAAACACACTGGCAGCTCAGGCCCTCACAGGGATATTTGTGTGGTCTGCCTTGCTCATAACATGCCACCAGGTGAGTGTGTGAATATTTCTAAATACCCATAGCTGATTTAAATCAGTGCACCACATGACACTATGAGTAATGCAGCTCAAAGCGTTGCGCACTCAGTAAGGTAAATGTTATCTGAGATCGGTGCAGAGTGACACATACACCTCCCTTGCCAGAGGGACGGAAACAAGTTATTATATCCATAAAGGCTTGTATACTACCTTACAAAACAATGTTGTAAATTCAGTGTCTCGGCAGATCACACCGGTTATTTTCATACTCACACTGCCACTGTGTCTTATCTAGTCATAAAGTATTCCAGGCAGGTATTATCCATTCACTGCCCCACTGCATTGTGGGGAGGTTTTCTTACTTTAAAGTTGACAGTGACCATCACATTTAAAAATGTTAGCTGATTTAAGGACAATAAATCCTCAGCAAGCTGTCTTCATGTGAAGGGGAAGGAAGGTTGGAAGAATAAATGGCTCAACAAAGACCACCTTCGCCCAGAAACAATTTCAACGCTGCTGTAAATGAGTGTTTCCTCTTGTGAGCGTGAGTTACCCACTGTGCACAGATGATAGCTTATCATTATGGTTTATCATTCGGAGGGAATGCGGTAGGGTGCAGTGTATTATCAGCAGGGAAATGAATTGGTATCAATCAAATCAAGTTTTATTTATATAGCACATTTATAAACGATTTTTGGTCGAGCCAAAGTGCTGTACATAAAATAAAAATAGCCTACAGTAGAGACACTTTACAGCCAATACAACAGCACAGATTGTTCAGAATATCAGTATGAGGAAAAACGACACCCTCTGTCCTTAGACCCTAACATCGTACGAGGAAAAACTTCCAGAGAAAACCCACAGTTTAAGGGGAACATGGGAGAAACCTCAGGGAGAGCAACAGAGGAGGGATCCCTCTCCCAGGACGGACAGACGTGCAATAGATTGCCGTGTGTAAATCGAAAAGATAATTACATTTTACAGCATATAGACCGAATGTTAGGAAATGCATGTGTCTGTAATAAGAAGATGAATCCACGAGGATGTCAGCTACAATCCTGTGGAAGCCATCATGACGAGACCCAAGGCAGGACCGCAGAGACAGGTTCAGCCACGACCCGAACGTCCACGACCTTAATCCAGAACTCGGGATAGAGGATCCAAGACACAGGACTACAGCAAGAGGATCAGCCCTCGACTCCGGATCCCGGTGTAGATATAGATACAAAACAAGAAAAAGATTTTGTCTGGGTTAATCAGAACAGAGAATACACAGACACAGACAGAGAGGGAAAAGGTCATTGGATAAAGGTATCTTTGATAAACCCTCTGGAAAGATCTCATGAACTTTCCCACTCAATGTATCAAGACCCGAGCAGTTCTATTAGATATAGGATAAGAAACAGAGATTAGGGAGCACAACAACCTATGTCTCGTTCAGATGCACTCCTCCGCTTATCTAAGCGACTCTGTACCCCCGTTACCCCTCTACAAGGCCATAGACCAGCAGAGGGGTAATGGGGGGTGGGTCAAGGGTTAAGGATTTTTAAGAATAAACCCAAGGGTCTAAAGGGAAAAAAATATTGAAATATAAGGTACTATATTTTAAGTAATCCTATCTACTATTCCTATATTTGAATAATGTATAAACTATTTTAAAAATTACTTTATAAAATCCTATGTTATGTTATAAATATTAAAATAAAGAACTAAATGAATAAATAACTAAATAAATGAATAATGAGATAACATTACAACAATGACATTATTTGCTTTGGTTAGGTTGAGTAGCTGTTGACCAGTTTTTTAGTCGATAACCCTTGTGTTGAATATGCATCCATTGGACATCCTTAGGCATCATATCTATGTGAACATATGTTTAATACTAACTGTTTTGGTTTTTTTGTGTAGTTAAAGGAAGAGTTGTTATTGTTTTGGTTCCCTTTTTTTATTATAATCTTTATAGCTAGCCTCGCAAAGCATCCATCATGTTATTACGAGTCTGAAAACAATGCCTGTGTAGGGATGTGTGACTCAATATCCCGCAATTGGTTTCTATCTTTTTAATATATAGTACTTGTTTGGCCAAACACTTGCTACAAGACATTTTTAATTGAACAAATAAATAGCAGTGTGCTGCAGGGAGATGGAGCAGGATGGCAACATGCATCCCGTCTGTCACGAGGGGAAGAATAAATGGTCTGCAGGACTGGTGTTGCAATGCTGGTGGTTGTTTCATCTGACTTGGCTCTAGAGGATTGCTATAGACTCCCAAACTCACGTTCTGAATACTAAACACGAGAGGACAATGGACCTTAGATCCTCTATGCTGTGAAGTCTCCGATGCTTCTCGGGCTGGTTAGTCAGTGTACTGTTCCTCACTTTTCTTCGTGGGCTTATTGGTCCCTTTGCAACGTGGAGCATTCGGGATTAAGAGCAGAAGACTCCATTTATCCTGGGCTGTATGGCTGCGTCTCTCACATCTGGTCCCAATACGTACACTCACTATTGCTGATGGTTATGTGTTCCAAATCGTGGTTCCTCTGACTCTACTGTTATGGCAGAAATACGTCTGAGCTTTACTTGTGCTTGAAGCTATTATTTAGCAGCATACATCTATGCATTACTGTCAGGTCAGCAGCAGCATATAGATTCAGGAAGGACGAAGGATTTTCTGGCATGCAGGCAAATGGAGGACATCAGTCCACAGTCTGCTTCACTTCACATGGAGAGATGGCCGAATGCATCACACCCCCACCCTCGCAGTAATCAGGCTTTAATGTGCACCCTCCAACAGGCATTTAATCAAGCTGAATGTGTCGCACAGAGAAAGACTGGTTGTTGTTTAGCTTCATCCTACAAATGGAGGTTTTTAGAATTAAAATCTTCTAGCCACGAATGTTTACCCTTCTTTAATCAAAGCTATTCAAGTTAGCCCAACAATGAGATAAAGAACTGTAGAGCTGCAACAGTTTCATCGATGTTTGGATAGACAGAAATGAAATCGGTTGATTGTTAGACTTGTTAATTGTCAATATAATCATCCAATAATGATCTAATTGTTGCAGTAATGGGTTCGAAGTTTGATGAGGTAACACATGGATATGGTAGCGATGTTTGGTTTGTTTTCTTTCCCATCAAAGGTATGAGTCAGCAATGAGAATGGTGTTATTACTTGGCTTGACCCTCATGCTCAATTAGTGACCTAACGGCTTATGATAAGCATCTTGTTCAAATGAAAAAAAAATGTCTTGTTATAATTGTTTTAAATGGTGTCTTAACAAAGAATGAGTCATCAGTTTGCTAGAAAACAATTGCCAGTGATCTGTGCTTCTCAATGATATTCCCTGATATGCTTCAGTCTGTAATGGGCGCTACATTTTAAGAGCTCTTTCTTTACGACTGTAATCATCTGCACATGAAAAATAATACAGGTAAAAGAATTTGACAGATTTTCCAATTGAATATGCGGAGTGTTTAGCTGAAGAGCAGCTGTAAGTATTAGTCGGACACAACTGCATGTATTTGAGGATGAACTAAATGTGCACTATTATAGGTGTTG